AAATATATAAAGTATATAAAAATTTAATTAAAAAAATATTATTAACTAAAAATTTTCATATCAAGATTTTCTTTAAATTAATTTCCTAAATTACAGTATTGAATGAATTTTGAGAAACATTTCAAGCATAAAAAGAATTGCATTGGTTTCAAAAAAAAAAAGCGTTAAGCATTATTTACTACATGCATAATTTATTACAATTTTTGTATATATGTCATATATACACACATGCGAATACGAAATGCAATTATCAATCCTCGAAACATTAAGCATACATTAATTTTTTCCTTGAATACTTATCGTGATCGAGTTATATAGAGTAGATGGATCGAGAGCTCTCAGCTTTTTCTATCATGCATTTTAATGTATAGCTCTGGATCAATCCTCCTTGCCACAATATTATTTCCCGTCTCAACGAAGCAACAAGTTCTACTTTCTCGTGGGAATCGATTAAATATGTTTTCCTTTTCTTGGTTTACACATCAGAGATTTAAAAAGTCTTTTCAATTTTGCATCAATTGTAAATATAATTACGAAAACGTGTATAAGAAAAAATAACTTCTCTTTATTTAATTGTATTTTATCAATGTATATAACATTTATAGAAATTTAATATAACTGTTATGATAAACATCTCTATATTAAACAACAAATACACATATACTTGTAATCCAAAACGTGATGGTTAACAAACGCAATTATCTTCGATTCAAAATTAATAAAACAAAGCAAGTTAAATTTTAAGAATAAAAATTCTTCTAACAAACATTCTTTGGACGTTTACATGGATAGCTATCATTTCTTGAAGAAGGCATGAAAAGCTCTATCAAACCATTCAACATATGTAATTAAATGCACCAGACACTCTTTTATTTTTGCTCGTTCTACTTGTGTCGCTAATCGAAGTAGGGCGCCACATCGATTTTGGTCGTATCCGGAGCGCAATGCCAAATATCACGTAAAAGGGCACAGCCGGGTTCTCCGTTTCTCGAGACGCCGATCTAAAATAGGACCAGACAGAAACGCGGACGAAGGCGGAGGTTGCAAATAAATAATGAGCATCGCGCCTCAAGGATAAAGATGGGATTAATAAGGCGCCTAGTAACGAGTATACCTATCAGAATACGCCACGGTCCGTTTAAATCTCGCGTTTCTCGATCTATCTTTCCGCTTTTCGCTCCTTTTCTCTACATTTATCTTACTCCTGCTATAATTCTTTCCTCCCTGCCCGTCCTATCCCCCCCGCAACAGCTACGGGATTTTTAACCGAGAATTTTAACGATTGACCTACATTTCCGCGCCCCATTTACAGTATATTCTACGGTAATGTCAAATACCGCGATAAATATGCTAGTAAAACCAATGATCGCCTCTGTAAGGACAAACAGCAATGCAATGGTACGGTTAGACGATTATCGGGATACTCACGTCGGAATAGTTTGCGAAAAGTCGCCACAAATCGTCCGATAACGATCAATCTTTTCGCGGATTTCACAGGCTATTTCTTTCATTTCTCTTATATTTAGAAACCACCAAATATATCTTGTTGTCACATAAATGCATGTAACACAAATATACATACTTGTGCATATGAAAAATTATTACATTGCACAGGCGTAAATTTTATGGCATAATGTGTCATTTAAAAGTTATTTTTAATACCAATATATATATGTATAATCTTAAGTATGTATCTATTATATATATATATAT